GGGGGGTCATTATTCCAACGTCTATACATTTGTTTCTCCCCAATATGAAAACAAAATATTTTATAACGTCGAGATAGGCAACTGAATAAATGACGATGAACAACATAAGTTGACGAGATCTTACCTTCCGAGTTCAGCATCGTACCATAAAGAACAAAAGAAACTTGAATCCGAATCTCTCTCAAAGGTTCTATGAAATTCAATTTAAAATAAAAAATTTGTCGACACAGTTCGCAGTTAAACAAGGGTTTAAAGAAAATATAAACCTATGCTGGAGAATATTTGATGACAAGTCTAAACTGGTAAAATATTCCGAGTTTGAATTGATACCAAGTATATAATATCCAGATCTTTCAAGCAAATGAAATGCGAAAAAAACCATCTTTAAAAAAGGTAAATTGGCAGTTCTCAACTCTTTGCAGGGGTGTATATTTTTCAGAAGGATTTTTGATGATTAGGGAAAAAATGAAAAACCGGACAGCAATGGGAAGTTTTCATGCTTAAAATATATTGATTTATGAAAAAAGTGATTTTTCGAGAAAATATACACTCCTGCACTCCTGTCTCTGTGGAAGGAATTTGACCTTCAAAAAACTTATGCATCTCATTTTCTAAATCCAGGTTTGAAAGTTAAATGATAGAGGTGTATACTGTATATTTATCCGAGTTTCGACCCACCCGGATTTTTGAAGATTTGAGGGTGAAAAGAATGTAAAATTGGACATACAAATGTTTGATTCATTCTTTTTGTCCCATTTCAGCGAAAAAAAACCTAAAACATCTAAAGAGAAAAAAAAATTTCCAGGGGGGATATTAGAAATATCCACCCTTGAAATGATCCCAAAATAAAGCTGTTGAATTTTTTTTTTAAAAATTAAAAATAATTTTTTTTTATTTTTTATTCTTTTTGCGACGTTTTACCCTCAAATTTTTTTATTTGCCCCAATTCAGCGAAAAAAAATCTAAAATAACTAACATCTGAAAAAAAAGATTTCCAAAAAATATTCATTCTTGAGATCCAAAAATGAAATTCGCATTCTCAGGGATCCAGTGTGTATATTTTTCTGTTTGCCCCCTTACCCGGGGGAAGGGGGCTAAAATATGAGCTTTCGTTGGGTCTGGGAAAATATGAGGAAAAAAGGAAAAAGGGGGAGGGAACGGAAGAGTAAATGAGTAGAGGGAAGGGAAACACCAAAAAAGACAATATCAAAAATGTAAAAAAAATCAGGGGGGACCATGAAGTTGACCGTGTTAGGGCACTAAAACGCTCTATTATTATTATTATTATGAAAGGACAACCCATCATTCAATGAAATATGGGTCGGCGCCAGGGGCGTACGAGGGGGGGGCCCGGCCCGCCCCCCTCTACGCGTGCCCCCCCTGAGAGGCTGAGAGGGGGCACCCATGAGGGAGGCTCTTTTAATATTACATCTGCTTGCATTTCCCTTCCTCAGGCCAGGCACAGTGGCGTACCTAGGGGGCAGTAGTCCTGTTGCCCCCCCTGGGAGTTCCAGGCGGGGCACTGCCCCCCCCTGGAAAATACAAAATTAAAAGGAAACTACGTTTAAAAAGTAACACCTGACAATGACAAAGACTAAGGATTTGTCTGAATTCATTGTTAACACAAGGAGAGAAAAGTTTACACCTTCTAAAGAGAATACTTCATTACACAAGATGTACTATGACGGAGAGCAGACTTAACGATCTTGCACTTAAGGCTTTTCACCCTAAAAGGCTGTCTGAGCTCTCTAGTGAAAAAATCATTGAAATGTTTGTGCAAGCAAATCCCAGAAAATTGTAGCTTAAAAGAGATGGTGAATATGAAGATTGAGTAAATTCTATCTAAAAATTTCAGAAGAAATTGCGTTTATTAGTAAAAATATAATTTTTAATGATGCTGTGATTATTGATTTATGGTATTTTTATGGTGAACAAAACAAGTCCAGGTGGGAGGGGGGCAAAAAAAATAAAAAAGGTATCAATATTTTTTCAAAAAAGGGGTTTTTAAGGGGGGGTATACTGTTGCCAAGGGGGGGGGGGGGAACCCCAAATTTTTTTTTGCGCGCTTACGCACCCAAATTGTGCCCCCCTCCTAAACAAAAGCCCTCGTACGCCCCTGGTCGGCGCTCCTAGCCGCCGATACGTATCCATGGGCTGACCGAACTCTGAAGACTAAAATCTGTTATGCTACTAAAATCCAAAAATTCTTTGAAAGGGGGCTCTGCCCCCCCCCCCCTTGAACCCCAACCGACTCAGCAAACTCTTAGAAGTTTGCACGGGCTTCAGAACCCTGCAAAATATACCTGTTTTTTTAAATTGTGGATTTGGGGAAAAAATATGATTCTGAAAGGGGTCAGAGTCGAAAAAAGCGTGGTTGGAAAAAAATGTAAATTAAAACTTACGTTGGAGTTGAACCACCCAGCTTACTCCACTTTTCAGGATCCGGCATTCCTAGCATCTCCACACTTGCTTTCCCAACGTAGCTTAGCAGAGGTTCGTCGTCACAAGTATCTAGACAATTTATTGTAGTTAATTTTGTTTTTAAATTGAGATAACGCAACTATAACAAAATCATTGGGCAACGTAATTAACAATAGCCTCAGATTTTATTTTCTAATTCATATATCTTCGCAAACTAATGTCATAAACCTTTGGACTGATAAGATTAAGTTTTAAATACAGGTTTACACCATTAAGGCAAGCAAATAAATAGGCATATCCCGAGTCTGGATCAAAGTGGGAAAATCACCCAAAGTCTGATAAAAAAACATAATTTTTGCTCTCATCAATACACAAATTTTAATTGCTAATCAATAAAATTTTTTTAAAAAGTCCTAATCTCTGGGTTTCGTTTTTTTTTTGGACAATTCCTTAACTAAATTTGTTAAAAAAATTAATGAATCTCAAAGAAGTGTTAATGACCTGAATCTGGGTCCATTTAATATCAGGGCCGATCTTGGAGCCAAATCAAAATGAAATGGGTGCATAGAATTGCAGTGTTTAATTACTAACCGAGTCGGAACAGTTCAGCTGGATCTCCAGTTTCTCCTAGAACAGTATCTACTCCTCGGGCGAACCAACGGACATGGGCCATCGGTGTTTCCTGATAATAAATATATTGTTATAAACTTAAAATTCTAATCTAATAATATTTTATATAACTAGTTTGGGAACCCAGATTTGCCTGGACACGTAACTAAGCGCCAACCCTCTTAATTTATGAGTTTTGAACCAAGACACGAACGTTTCCATATTCTACCACGTTTCAAAGTTCCTCTATCAAAATTAGAGCCAAATCGTTCCAGAGGTTCATGAGTTATAATTGGACAAACAAACAGAGATTACTACTTTAAAAATAAATAATCCTGTTATTAGAAGGTGTCCTATCTTAACTCAGAAACCCCTGGACCTATTTGCCTCAAAATTTTGATTGGGAAACTCGTTAAAACAACGAGAATTTCCTAGTTTAAAAATTTAAGTTAAGTGAGTTGAATAGGCTAAAGGATGTTTATTGTTTAGTTCACATGCAAAGCTGGTAAGAAATAAAGTCACAATTCTGTTAAAAAATATCTGGTTAGTTCAAGGGGTATATATTTACAGAAATACCCCCCCCCCCTTCAAGGAAGTCTAGATAGATAGTCTTCAATTTACCTTATCGTTGTACATGTAAAGAACCGTTCCTACAAATGGTTCTGTATCTTCTGCTCCAGGATCCAGCATTATATTATCTCCAGGAACAATAATATCTCCATCAATCTCTGCTTCTGTAATAATCTAAGTTGAATATGTATCTCCAGGAACAATAATATCTCCATCAATCTCAGCTTTTGTAATAATCTAAGTTGAATATATATCTCAAGGAATAAATAACATCTCCATCAATCTCAGCTTCTGTAACAATCTAAGTTGAATAAATATCTCAAGGAACAATAATATCTCCATCAATCTCAGCTTCTGTAATAATCTAAGTTGAATATATATCTCAAGAAATAAATAACATCTCCATCAATCTCCGCTTCTGTAATAATCTAAGTTGAATATATATATCCAGGAACAATAACATCTCCAGGAACAATAACATTGCCAGTAACAATAACATCTCCAGGCACAATAACATCTCCAGGAACAATAACATCTCCAGGAACAATAACATCTCCAGGAACAATAACATCTCCAGGAACAATAACATTGCCAGTAACAATAACATCTCCAGGAACAATAACATCTCCAGGTACAATAACATCTCCAGGAACACTAACATCTTCAGGAACACTAACATCTCCAGGAACAATAGTATCTCCGTAAATCTAAGTTAATAAAGCTATCTGAACCATGTGCAAGTACACTTAAAATTATGAAGTGAAATTTTTCCACCCTTTAAATGTAGACGTAATTTCAAGTGGCGTAACCAATTTACAAGATAACATAAGAAAAAGATCATGAAAGATCCCCAATGTGGGATCCTCAGACAGGGTCTCAGTTAGGTGCTGATTCCCTTACCGTTTACTGGACTAAAATCAAGAAAATATCCTCTTTTTTAATAATAATTTATAATTGTGGTTTCTCTATAAAAAAATTGCTAATTTTATGCAGCAGAGACCAAAAACGTAATTTACTAAATTCCACACCTGTGCACTGTGCAGTGAATGTATAAAAAACGACAGTTGCACCAATAAAGGTTTAAATGGTAATGTTGTAAAATAACTTGAAATTACGTCTATCCCTTCAAGATACTTATCGTCCAAAAATTCTTTCATTTCCACCTAAATTCATGAACTTTCCGCTCAACTCATTTATGCTTTCAAAGTCTTACTTTTTTAGTTTTGTTAGGAACCACATACTTCCAAAATATCCATTGGATAGAAAAACAAACAAAAAACAGATATTCCAAAATCAAATCAATTCATGAATGTTAGGGAAAGATTAAGGCTTGTGTATCAGCATGCAGGTTCAAGTCCCGAGATGGGTTTTCAGTCCGGATCTGAATTTAATTTTGACATTTGTAGTGAATCCCGGAAATGATTAATTTTTAGTACTTTCTCAAGCAGCAACTTTCTAAAAGGTATTTTATCAAGTGGCAACTTTCCGAATGTGCAATTTTCCAAGCGTCAACTTTAAAGGCTGTCAACGCTCGGCCCCCTAGCCCATCCTAGCCGAAACACTCGTCGCTAATTTGCATCCTGCGGCGCCTCAGAATAACTAACCTAACCTTAAATTAGATTTGGTAAGATGCCACTTGAGATTTAAAAACTTTCTCAACTGTCAATGCAAATTTTCAACAGTTCAGTTTTTTTACTCTTACACTTGACACTTAAAATTAAGTCAATCAAAACTAAAAAAAATCTTACGTTTGCAGTCGTCTCCGATCCATTTAAAGTTCTCCTTTTTTCCCTTGGACTTGCCCTGGAACACAAAATATATTTTGAGAAATTTTCTCCATATCTTAATTGTAAAGGGAGCGGTATCGCTTTTTAAACAAGTTCTTACAAAAAAAATAATTGATGATCTAACTGAAAAATAATAAAGTGGTATAACTTCAAAACCATAGAATAGATAAAGAAAGATTGCGCATAAGACGACATTTTTCATCTTGAAAGATATGAATGTACAGAGATGTTTTAAAAATATTCCTAATATATAGATTAACTAGGTCGGTTGTGAACATAGGCTGTTCTTATGTCATTGAGTACTTGTGGTGTACATGAGTTCTGTCGAGAGAAATTTAATTTAGTTTAGTCCTTCTCATGTCCTTCTTCAGTTCTCGTCAATATGATATATTGCTCAGTGAAATATTGTTGTTCAAATAGTTCCATTCCCGGAGTTATTTTACACTCTATTATTAAATGCATTAAAACACCAAACCACCCCGCTTATCATTGAAGTACACTTTGACCCCTAAAAATATGAATTCGCTGACTGTACAATTCTTGGCGATTTTGCCTACATAAGCTATCTATGTTTTTTTTTATTTATCTATGTTCAAAACCTTTAATAAAAAGTTAACGGAAATATTTTTGACAACAAATTGAACTGGCCCATTACTCATTATGTTTAACATCATCCTAAAACTACAGAATATCTCCTCGTGCTTGTTCTAATTAAACATTTTAGACAATTAATTTTAAAAATCGGTACAGCTCCTTTTAAGTCAAAAAGCACTAAAATAACACTGACACGTTCGCAGAGCAGTTTTTAAATTAAAAATTTCTTTTATCGAGAACGTTCAAGCCTTTTAAATTATATTTTTTCATGTAATATAATAAGTCGTCCCAACAAAAGTCTTTTTTTTTTGGTGAACGTTATGAAATGAATGTGCAAACGTCTTGTTACATAAGATAGAAAAAGCTTTTGCCAAAGAAGAAATAGAAACAAATCTATAAAAATAAGAATATTGACCTGAGACTTGAACGAAGATTTCTTTGTTTCTTTAGCCGGTCTAACTTCAGCCTTCACCACCTGAATATACATTTTATTTATGTTTCAAGTATTTGTCATGTAATATCTTGCAAAAACAATTTAATTTGAAAATATTCATTAAGTAAATATATTTCCTTAGAATCAAAAGTTTAAATTGACAAGATAAATTTGATTTTATTACCTTCCCCGGGTTCTCTTCCTCAGCCATCTGTTCTTTAAATAAATTCTCAAAAACTAGCCTGAACATAGAGAATAATAAACTCAAATACAAGCCTGAACATTGAGAACAATAATCTCAAATACAAGCCTGAACATAGAGAATAATAAACTCAAATACAAGCCTGAACATAGAGAATAATTAACTCAAATACAAGCCTGAACATAGAGAACAATAAACTCAAATACAAGCCTGAACATAGATTAATAATAAACTCAAATATAAGCCTGATACAAGCCTGAACATTGAGAATAATAAACTCAAATACAAACCTGAACATAGAGAACATTAAACTCAAATACAAGCCTGAACATAGAGAACAATAAACTCAAATACAAGCCTGAACATAGAGAATAATAAACTCAAAAACAAGCCTGAACATAGAGAACAATAAACTCAAAAACAAGCCTGAACATAGAGAACAATAAACTCAAATACAAGCCTGAACATTGAGAACAATAAACTCAAATACAAGCCTGAACATTGAGAACAATAAACTCAAATACAAGCCTGAACATAGAGAACAATAAACTCAAATACAAGCCTGAACATAGAGAANCTAAGCAAATAAATAAGTACTTATGGAACATATTCTCAAATAAACACTTCTTGGACATACCTTTGATAGTCAATTGAAACATTAATCAATCTAATATTATTTGGAATGCAGAAAATAAGTTAAACTAACTTCATTTTGACGAGAATTTTTTTTTATTTTCATGAAAAATTTGCTGAAATGAGTGAAAATTTAGAAAAAAACGGTGTATTTTCCAGGATAAAATCCGTACAATCCGTACAATTTGAAAACAAATCCGTACAATCCGTACAATTTTAGGGTTAAAAAAAATCAATCCGTACAATCCGTACATTTTGGCCACCCTGCAACTACAAGCCTGCCAGAGAATAATAAACTCTCAAATACAAGCCTGAACATGGAGAACAATAAACTCTCAAAAACAAGCCTTGAATATAGATAACAATAATCTAAAATACAAGGCTGAACATAGATAACAATTAACTCTCAAATATAAGCCTCAACATAGATAACAATGAACTCTCAAATACAAGCCTTGAATAGAGAGAATAATAAACTCAAATACAAGCCTGAACATAGAGAATAATTAACTCTCAAATATAAGCCTGAACATAGATAACAATAAACTCAAATACAAGCCTGAAACTCTCAAATATAAGCCTGAACATAGATAACAATAAACTCAAATACAAGCCTGACAGAGAATAATAAACTCTCAAATACAAGCCTGAACATAGAGAACAATAAACTCAAATATAAGCCTGAACATAGAGAATAATTAACTCTCAAATATAAGCCTGAACATAGAGAACAATAAACTCTCAAATACAAGCCTGAACATGGAGAACAATAAACTCTCAAAAAAAAAGCCTTGAGTATAGATAAAAATAATCTAAAATACAAGGCTGAACATAGATAACAATTAACTCTCAAATATAAGTCTCAACATAGATAACAATGAACTCTCAAATACAAGCCTTGAATAGAGAGAATAATAAACTCAAATACAAGCCTGAACATAGAGAATAATTAACTCTCAAATATAAGCCTGAACATAGATAACAATAAACTCAAATACAAGCCTGACAGAGAATAATAAACTCTCAAATACAAGCCTGAACATAAGAGAACAATTAACTCTCTAAAACAAGCCTTGAATATAGATAACAACAATCTCAAATACAAGCCTGAACATAGAGAATAATTAACTCTCAAATACAAGCCTGAACATAGATAACAATAAACTCAAATACAAGCCTGACAGAGAATAATAAACTCTCAAATACAAGCCTGACAGAGAATAATAAACTCTCAAATACAAGCCTGAAAGAACATAAATAAACACAAGAAGAATACATCAAGACCATTACGGCCAAAGAGACCATAGAAAAAAATTAAGTCCATAAATATACAAACCGAACAAGGGGAGTGACCATGGCGGATTCGAACTTAGGTTTCTGAGACTGTTTTCTGTCAACTACAAGCTTAGAGGACTTTTTTATGCTGGCTTTCTGTACCCCGGCGAGCTCACAAATTCTCTAAAACAAGTATTCACTGATTTCTGACAGGGTAAGAGTAAAAGTAATAGGATAACATGGTTGGGTTCAAAATCACAACTTGTGTTGTAAATCTAGGAATAAGGCATTGATCTCATTAAGATCGATATTATTCTGAAACATTTCCACGTCAACTCTTTTTCTGATATGAATCTTAATTGGGAGTGTGGGGAACATAGGGTGGGGTATCAATTAATTTTACCCTATACCTTAATGAGAGGCGAGTCCATAAACTTCTTTTCGTCTGGATCACCGGCCTGCTGGTAACTGAGTATCTATACAATAAACATTAATTAATTTATTATGACAATCAATTAAATTTGAATGACCATTTAAACCATTAAAAAATATCTTAGCATGAAACTCTTGAAATTCTTTAACCAAATCAATTGTTTCAGGTTTTATAAAGGGAAAAAAACACAAAATGCAAAAACACAAAAATGATAAATACAAAGATTAAAAATTAATTGTACTAAGATAAAGGCTTACATAATGTTTAATGATTATACATTTTTTTTACAACTTATTATTCTCTGTATTCGAGGCTAGAATTTTTCAAGAAAGCGTAGCATTCAATATTCTCAAGAACATAACATATCTTCTTGAAATATGTAATCCCTTACCTTTCTAAGATAATGTATACGCGTTGAAATCTTTAACGTATTAGCAAAGAATAAATATTTACATCTCAAGAAGATTTCACTGCAATTTTTTTCTTATTTAGAATTAAGTGAACATGGGATTATTTCCAGTAAACTCATTGAAAATTAATCGCAGAGTGACTAAATCCAGAGTTGAATTAGTTTCTTTATAACTTTTGATTTCGCGGGCTCTGAGCTGGGAACTTTAGAATGGTGGATATCAGGATTAATGCTTAATCCTCTGTTTTTGCTAATCTCGAGACTAACATAATCTCAAGATTATGTTTGCCTTGAGATAAAATATCAAGATCAACAAATTGGATTCTAAGAACGCCAGATTGGTTTGTTTTCTTGACTGGAAGGGCCTTCAATTAATTTCTTACCCATCTATTAATTAATACATTAGTTAAAATTGGTTACAGAAGAATCTCAAACGTATTAATATATTATGCGTAGGAAGAAAGTGTAATAATCAAAATTATTGTTATAATACTGAAAGAAAAACCGCCTTTCGGTGAATAATCAAAATTATTCCACGGTTTTTCTTTCAATATTATAACAATAATTTTGATTGTTACACTTTCTTCCTACGCATAATATATTAATATTTTTCTTCACCGATTAATATACAAAATGGCCGACAACAAATTCTTGATTTGTTAGAAAATGCGGATTTCTCTCATGGGATAACATTTATTTTCAAGGCTGTCATTGGTCAATGCAATTTACGAACTATATTCCTTCACTCTCATTGGAGAAAATAATGTATGGATATCCAAAGAGAGAGAAAAGGAGTGGATTAAGGACTATAATTTTAAGTTTCCACAGTGGATATTCGGATTAAGTAGTTGGTATAGAAGGTTATCCATTTTAAGTTCCCAGCTCTGGTTGAATAAAGGAATTTTAAGAATATACCTGGCTTACAAGAAACTCTGCGTGCTTAATAACTGACTCGGAAGTAAACTCTGGTATCTCGGGGCGGGGCGGGGACATCCCAGACAGATAATCAAGGAATCTTTAATAGTCAATAGTAAAATAATATTTATCCTTATGGAATTACTTCCTGGATCCGGATCCGCACACAAATGCAGATCCACGAATCTAAAACACAATATATCACCAGAAGCTGTAAAAAAATTGCTCTCAAAACCCAAACCTGAGCTGTTACAAACATAATTATTAAAAATTTCAAGTTTTGGCATACAAATAAACCTTCCAAATAATTTTAAAATTCTTCTTTTGTTAAAAATTAGTAAATATTATAAAATGATCATTATCTTATGACCTGACTAAAAATCCCTAGTTTCGAGTATTAAGGTGCAGCAAATTTGACAATTTTCAACCAGTTCTGGAAATATCTCCCCCCAACCTACCTTTCATATATTCCATCTTCGTTCTCATCATCATTCTCCTCATCTCCTTCATCTTCCTCCTCCAGAAACTCAATCATATATTTTACTGAATATTATTATATTATTAGAATTTAATTTGCGCTTCTCACAACCATTCATAATACATTGAACAAATGTGGTGACGTCCCACTTCTAGGACCTTAGGGACGCCCCCCCCCCCCTGGAAAATTTATGGTGCATCTATAGAGAGTAAGCATCTTCAAGCCCTTCAACTTTGATTTTTAAGACTGGATTAAAATTTTTTTTTTTTTTTTTTACCAAAATGGAGATATTTTGTTTAGAAGGTGGTCACACATTCCCCAGCCCCCTCCAAGCAGTGTCATTTCATAAAATTCCAAAAGGGGGGGGGGTATTTCATTTATCCTCCGCCTCTCGAAAATATGACAAGCTGCCCCTGACCCCTATAATACTACTAACCAAGGAAAGATTGCTCCCACGTGTCCAACATGAACGGTTTGTAGTTCGGATGAGGTTCTTTCAAGTAGTAGTTTGCATCCTGCGTACTAAATCCTGAAATATTAGTTTTGTAAGGACTGTAAACGTAATTTTAAGTGACCCTCCATTCGAAGATCATAATAGGTATGTCCGATTTACAACGGTACCCTATGAACTTTTCTTTGATCAGTAATGTGGACTATATTGTCGTTTTTCCAACATTTCCCCATTTTTTAGCAGGAGAAATGTGCAGATTACTTTGTAGTGACCCACAAATAAAAACAATTTTAGAAATAAATATTGATCTCTAATTCACTTTCAAAAGATAGAATTCTTTATATCTTAACTTGCAAAGCTAATATTTGACTGACCTATTAAAACGTTTTCTCCGCCGTCAAACCCAGAGTTCCACCAGGAAGTCATCACACAAGATTTTATATGATGACCCTTCCCCTAGACATAATTCAATTTAACATTATGATGGGGGCAGTGCTTAGGTTCCGGAAACGGATCCGTTGGATCCGCAAGATTCTGGCTTCCTGGATCCGGATCCGCAAAAATATGCGGATTCACGGACAAGGGGCCAAATATCGATCAAAAACTGCAAAAAAATTTACTCTTAAAACCCAAATTTGAACTATTGAAAAAAGAGAGCCTATAATACTTTCATGATTTCTGAATGGACTTCAAGTTTTGGCATAAAAATAAGTGAAAAAAATAAGACAAAAAATTTGAAAATTCTGCTTTGTTAATAAAATTCAGGAACTTTTAATGAAATAACCTGGATCCGGATCCATTTTTTCCAAGTGCGGATCCGGATCCGCATCAAAATTTATTGGAATCTAAGCACTGGATAGGGGTATATATTTTAAGTACCCCCCCCCCCCCCAAAAAAAAAAAATAGTAAGAATAATAAATCATTTTAGATGCTTCAAATTTCACCAAGTAAATAAAATATGTGTCGAGTTCAAAAAAAAATATTTTTTTTTAGTCGGGGTTCATTTAGGTCATGAAAATTTAAACAAAAATAATTGTTCATGAAGCCCTGCGTATTCATCTCCTGAAAAGAATGTCGAGACAGCCGATATTTTTTCTGTTTAATTGGTGGGCCGATGTCAGAAACGAGTCAGGAAAAAAAACACCTTTGACCTTTGTTTATCCAATATTTGAGTTGAGAATCTAAATCTTGCTCCAAACTTATTCAGTGTCAATTATTTTAGAAAATAGCGAGGTGATTGTTTCTGAATTTAATTCAGGTAAAAAGTTGAGATCAGATCCGGATTAAAAAATAAAATGAAATCTTCCTAAACTACAATTCTTATACTTGAAAATATAATTGAGAATGAAAATTTCCTTAGGAACCCTCGATTAACAAAATTCTAATGAAAATCTTCTTTATTAATTAGATTCAGTAAAATCTTGCCAGGACCCCCATCTCGTTTAACACAAAAAACAGAAGTGTTTAGCCATCTATCTACCTAAACCTAACCTGGAATGGTGTGCGTATACTGTAAATCAATACTTTGGTAGGAGCGGGGCTCAAGAATTCTTACTAAATCCGAATCCTTAGATTCTCAGTAACAAAAAATAACAATTACAAGTATTTACCGCGTCCATCAAGTCCTTAACAACACCGTCAAACATGACTTTCGCTCCACTCTCCAGTATCCCTGGTTTAGTTCATCCATTTATTTTAAAAACTCGAATATTGTCTGCTTAAAAGTTTTTAAAAAATATTTCTACATGATAAAACAAGATATAATAATAATATATATGTTGCCTATAGCCGGCCAAACGGCTGGACCGATTGGGCTGATTTTTTTTTAATGAAAATTCATGGGTGGCTGGGGAGTGTCATAAGCTATAAAAAATTCGATTTTTTCAATTTTCTTTACATTTTTGTCACGGTCAAGCCCCTTCAGCAAGATATTCTTAAAAGTTAAATAAAAAATCAAGTAGATTAGAATTCCTGAGTTCATATGAATGAGGTGACCCTCCTCATCAAAAACTTGATAGTCTGAGAGACTAACTTCGGGTTTATCCTAAAGCAATAAATCATTCAAACTGGGACTAATCGCTGAATAACAAACAAGTCAACTGTCACGTAGTCTGTGATTTATCAATCAATCATCATTTGGTTGAACTACAGATCAATTATTCAAATCAACAATTAATCATTGACCATTAAAAATAGTTGAGAAAACAGATAAAATCAATCTAAACTCCAATCCATTCAATCAAGATAAACAATAATTTAAATAGATTTAACTTAACAGTAGTGAACACAATATAATCTGAGCTAATGAACATCCATAAAAAAAACTGAAACAACTTTATAGTTCAAAGAAACTTATCTAAAGGAATTTGTATCAAAGTCGTTGAATATAGGTAACAAACTCAAATTTTCTAATCCCTACATCTTGGCAACCTGATATTTCAATCTTAATTATTTATCTAACAGATTGCATAGGTCTGCGACATTGGTTGCTGAGAAATATAGATTAGAAAATCATAGTTTTAGGAAAAAAGTCAATTTCTTTTACTTATATTTTTTTATTTTGAATTGATTGAGGTACGAACCTGGTAATTTTCTGAATCGATTAGCAGTTCTGGTTCACAAAACAGTACTACAAGTTCATCTCTGGCCAGGGTATGTGGGCCGACGTACCTATGTTTCGTAATTAAACATTTGATATATTTTTTACAATTTAGAATATGTAAATTTCCAATTGTTTTCCAAATGTTACGCACACGCCTTAAAGCGTATTTGAATGTGTATGCCTGGACCCTGAGTATAGCTTCAGTAAGACCTAAACTAACTATGGACGCTGATGTAGACATACTTTGATTTCTTTTCTTAAAAGATTACATTGTTATATTGTTGCCATGATACTTCAATCTATTCAGTCAATTCTCGTCCACCTTCAATCTGTGGTAAACTGTAAGAAAATCTATCAAGTATCGCCATCTAAATAAAGAATCAAAGAAGAAACAGTTTAAATATAGAGAAAGCAGTTTGAAACCGGTCATCAAAAGGATGTCAATAAAACCTACAATAAACATAGATAAGTAAGTGTGTGGACAGGTACCTACAATATACATAGAGAAGTATGTGTGGACCCAGGTACCTACAATATACATAGACAAGTGTGGGCCCAGGTACCTACAATATACATGAATAAGTAAGTATGGACCCAGGTACCTACATTATACATAGATAAGTAAGTGTGGGCCCAGGTACCTTCGATATACATAGATAAACAAGTGTGTGAACAGGTACCTGCAATAAGACATAGATAAGTAAGTGTGGGCCCAGGTACCTACGATATACATAGACAAATAAATGTGTGGACAGGTACCTACAACATACATAGATAAGTAAGTGTGGGCCCAGGTACCTACGATATACATAGACAAGTAAGTGTATGGAGAGGTACCTACAATATACATATATAAGTAAGTGTGGGTCCCGGTACCTACAATATACATAGATAAGTAAGTGTGGGCCCAGGTGCCTACAATATACATAGATAAGTAAGTGTGGGCCCAGGGGCCTACAATATACATAAATAATTAAGTGTGGGTCCAGGTGCCTACGTTCTAGAATATACATAAATAAGGAAGTAATAATACTAAGAATAATAATATGTATTGTAGTAAGTGAGCCACTGAAACAGCATTTTCTTCATATTATTATGTAGACTGTTCTTTGTCCCGAGTTAGTTGTCTTTCATATATCAAGTCCCTTGTACAAGAATTTTGTACTTCACCTGTCGACAGTCATTAATTCGTATCAATTGTCCTAGTGTCGACAGTCCTTGGCCTATCTATATTGTCCATTATTAGTCGACAGTTCTTTGTCAAAATTAATTGTCCTTTATGTGTCAACTTTCGTCTGTCCTTCGTCCAAGGTTATATGTCGACGGTAAATTAGTCTTAAAATACCGCTATTCGACAGTGTTTATCCAAATAAATTCTTCACGTGTTAACACTCATAAGCCTTTCGTTCATGTAAATTGTACTTCATATGTAGCTAGTCCTTGTTTTATTACTTACATTGTAATAAAGTCGGGATGAATGATTTGGCTGCATATCTTGCATCTTTCGTTTTCCATCTGAACATAACAGAAATTTAAGATCTTGTGTTGTGAATCTCAGGATCAAACAATGATCTCCATCTCATGGAGATCTACGGATTAGAGTTCGATATACCGAGGTACCCTATAGGGACAAAAATATCCACACACAAAAGTTCCGATCTGAGAAAAATGTAAATAGCTCTGAAACCCCCTGGACATTTGTAACTTAAAGTATTTAACATTTTCCTCCCGGTTTTTTTTATTTTAATCCAGATCTATGAATCATCCACACACACCCAGGGGTTTAATTCTGAAATATATAGACTCTCCGAGGGAATTGGTAAAACCACCTTAGAGAAGTAGCTGAACCTGTAGTTTCGCACCTAGATTAACTACTTCTATCATGTAAATTCCCAGCAGTGCTCTTAGGATCCGGATCCGTTGGATCCGCAAAATTTTTGGCTTCCTTAAACAAATAACCTGGATCCAGATCCACATCAAAATTCAATGGATCGTAAGCACTGATTCCCAGGGGTATATATTTAATTTAAAATCATTTAGCTAGGTTTGGGAAAGTATCTAAAAAGTGATTAGTTGACGTCCAATTTTTCATTCCCTAACTTCTTGAAAACCATTTTTCCATTCCCGTAGGTGGGGGGGAAGGGGGGATTTTAAAAATTCCCCTATAACTTCCCAATCCCAGACCTTAATTCGTCAAATGTACCTTTGCCTTCTTAGTATTCCCCGAGCTGGCCTCCTCCGCCTTTCTCTTCGCAATCTTCGCGAACATTCCCTTGATTGTACCCTTAGAACTTCTTCCTCCTATCAACAGAAAACTTAATTTTGTATTTTTATGAACTATTGTTCAGGGGTTTATTTTTTTCAGAGTTATCCCCCCCCCCCCCTAGGGGAGGAGGGAATGTTTTTTAATGAATTGTGGGGAAAACTTGAAAATTATAATAAACTGTCTTTTGATGCCCCACATCAAAAGACAGTTTATTATAATTTTTGCTACTTTTTATCCCATACAATCATTTATTTTTCTCTGAAAAATTATTTCTCATTTTCAGCGAAAAAAAAACCTTAAAAAACCATTATAAACTTCTGGGAGAGAAAATGATTTCCTAGCTGAAATTGAAGGTGTAACTATTTGGCTCTCTTTTGATGAAAATGCTGAAATCCACCTCGCACCAGTTTAAAATCTTTCTTTGATATATTTAAAAAAAACGATTTAATATTTTTCAGATTCAACTTTTTCAGATTTAAGCTCTTTTGTGTTAATCAAATCACTAATGTGAGCCAGAAAAAAATGTTGTCAAAATATAACAATAAAACATGATGGGTGTCAAAATATCCGTATAGAAACACTGTGATCATAAACGTTTATATCGTACAGATCGTTTGAAATTTATTTTGAAAGATATTTGTCTCTGCATCAAAATAATTATTTTTTTGCCATGTCATCAGTTTTTGAAATATCGAAAAACGGACAAATGGACATTTATCAGCGGTTCAAAGCGCATCTTTTGATACCAATTTCAACGTGTTAACAAAATAGAAAAATTCGACCTTCCCTTAACATCGCTCTTTTTATAAATCGTTTTACTGAATGTCTTTGGATTTTTAAATTTTTTTTTCTTTTATAAATGTCACCCTCTACTGTATACTTTTCTAGCTGTTACAAAATGGATTTGACATTTCGATGGAAAAGTTTCACCCTTACTAAATTAGAATCTCGGAAGTATTTATTAGCTAGGACTGATTGCATTGCAAAAATGTCTCTTTGCCAACCAAGAAAAAAAAATCTATTTGAATTTTTACCTTTCTTCTGTTCTTCTTTCTCTTTTTCTTCCTTGATTCTTTCCTCCTCTTTTAGTCTTGCTTCTTCCTCCAACCTTCTCTTCTCCTTTCTAGCTTCCCGCTTAGCATGTAGCTGAGGATTAAACTTCAAACCGGCTCGGGGCGCTAAGTAAGTAAGTTTCGTCAGTCAGTCAGTTTCGTCCGTCCGTCTGTCAGTCTCGTCAGTCCCGTCAGTCAGTCCCGTCAGTCAGTCCCGTCAGTCAGTCCCGTCAGTCAGTCCCGTCAGTCAGTCCCGTCAGTCAAAATAAAACAAAAACATCCAAAACCAAGTGTTACAGGAGAAATATTTAAAAACCTTCAAAAATATTTGTGAATATTTCCCACAATTCTAAAATTTAATTAGGAAAAGGAAAGTTACATATTTTATTTAAGATTACATTTAATGTAACTGGTGGTGGTTTGTTAGTATTTTTCGACCGTGAATTAACAACTTTTAGAAAAAAAATTACAGCCTTTTTGTTATGTTGAAAAATAAAATAGGCTTTTTGGGTTGCTAAAAAGATGTGTTAAAATTGTTCAGATAAAAATCTTTTGACCATTTGTCAATGATTTGACCATTTGTCAATAATTTGATCATTTGTCAATAATTTGATCATTTGTCAATGATTTGACCATTTGTCAATGTTTTGATCATTTGTGAAGATAAACTGGTAAATATACGAGTGTTGTACAAACCTTTCCAGCCTTCAGGTGCTTTATCCTCAACCTTCTCTGGCTCCCCCTTAGCTTCAACCTCCAAAGGTTCCTAAAATAAACAATATAAAATCAGTTTTATATTTGTATCGCTTTGCCCCAGGTGCATGCTATTATTCAGTGCAGTCCTAGATTTTTAGACCCCTTTCAAAATCCCCTGTAGTAAATGCCCTACTCCATTAGGGTTTCTCAATCTATCTAGTTACAGCTTAATCTCACTCTACTTCCCCTGTAGTAAATGCCTTACTCCAAGGGTATCCCAATCTATCTAGTTACAGCTCAATCTCACTCTACTATCAATTTCAAACCGGACACGATCTCTGGAGCTATCAATGTCTAACTAATGCCAATGTCTAAACTATCAATGCCAAACACTGGGCACAATCTTGAGCTATCAATGTCAAACCGCACACAATCTCGAAAACTATCAATGCCAAACACTGGGCACAATCTTGTGCTATCAATGTCAAACCGCACACGATCTCGAAAACTATCAATGCCAAACACTGGGCACAATCTTGAGCTATCAGTGTCAAACCGCACACGATCTCGAAAACTATCAATGCCAAACACTGGGCACAATCTTGAGCTATCAGTGTCAAACCGGATACAATCTCGTAAACTATCACCCCGTTCGCTAAACGAGGAACGATTACTTCTCTCCCTGTAATCCAATTGTAGTATCTTCCAACTGATTATATTTTGGATTCTAGATTAAAGATTAAGTTTAATAGACTTAATAAAAAGTTAGGTTAATCAGATTATTTGCGTATTTACTTTTAAGCGCATTTAGATTTACGGACAATGTACAACGTAGATTAGTTGCTACGGGATCTGCCCCTGTACTTATTACACCCCTGCCCCACTATCATTTTATTATCCGAGATTTTAGAGTCCGTCCTTGTATACGATTGTTAGACAGACAATGGGGCCGAATGCTGCAGCAAAATGTAAAATTCTATCCAATGTGTTACGTATGAGATGCATTTCCAAAAATCGATCTAAGATATTTACTCAATTTTAACTATTTTTCGACAAGAAATAAGTATTTTTTGGTTAAGTTCTAGTTGGTGAATTTTGGACATCATCAATAATTTACAAATAATATTTTACTTTTTATATTGAATTATTTCAGGGTTAGGTTAGAAAAATTTCTGGACCGAGCGCTGCGGCTATGACAGGCTAGGGGACCAAGTACTGCAGCTAGGACAGCTATATGCCAAGCGCCGCGGCCAGGATTGGCTGGGGATAAATCCTAGAGAACGATCTTCCCCATCTCCCCGCCTATCAATTTTGAAGATGACCAACATCCAATATTTACCCCAAAAGGGGGGGGGGGCCGTAAAACGTATTACTCTCCAGAAAATTTAAACAGTGTTTAAAGTTTAAACATATCTTAGAATTGTCGTAGGAGGCTGATTTTTTGCATGCAAACTCAGAATTATGTATAAAACATGCATTTTTTGGTTTTGAAGGAATCTGAGAAAAAGTGCGCGCGCGCACTTTTGTGAACTTGAATTCTCAAAATGCCGGACACTCTCAGCAAAGGATACGGTAAGTAGCTAAAAACATAAAAATTAAGTCTTTAAGTTCAAAAGTAACACTGTATAGTGACTTTTCAGGTTGAATAGAAGAGAATTTCAGACGAATTCGTCGATTTTGACGTTAGATGAACTTTAATTTTCAAAATGCCAGCACTCTCTTCAAAGGATACGGTAAGTAGATAGTAGACCAAAACATAAAATTGAAAAATGACAACTTACACAAATATCGACTTTTGAGGATTAATAGATGAACATTTTCAAGTTTATTCGGACGAAATTGAGTTTTCAAAAGGCCGGCATTGTTTTCAAAGGATAAGGAAAGTAGCTAGACAAAAACAGAAAAAATGAAAACTAACAACATATAGCAACTTATGAGTGTGAATTAAATAAAATTTTTAGACGAATTCTTCCGTTTTAACGATGGACGAACTTGAATTCTAAAAATGTCGGCACTGTTTTCAAAGGATACGGTAAGTAGACAGACAAAAGTATTGATGTATATTGATGAAAATTTCAGATTTATTCGTCGATTTGACGATGGACGAACTTGAATTCTGAGGGATTAGCGATTCTTAAATGAAATTAATTAATAGGAATTGAATTTTATCAGATAACTGAAAACTATGGTGCTTAAAGTCGTTCGACCAAAAAGATAAAATTGGGCGATGCAATCCGATAATTTTCAGCGGCGTGAAGCCCCAAAATTAGATTCTTAACGAAAATTGACGATTTTAACCATGTGGGACTTTAAAAAATTAAAATGCTGGCTCGAATAACGAATTCGAAAGGCTATATAAATCTGCAATTAATGTAATTTTCAAAAATGAGCAAAGTAGTCTTATCACCAAATCTTACTAACAAAGAGAGTTTTTGTCTAAAGAATTTTTGGATTTAAACAATAATTGCCTGTTTGCAGGGTATTTCGAAAATTTAACCGGCATTTCGGGGTTTCTTTGTCGTTCGTCGTGAAAATCGTCAATTTAACAAAAAAAAAACATAATTTTCTGGGCAAAACTTCCAAAATAATTGTCAGATCGCGTCGTGTACCTTTACACAGTGTAAGTATTGTCCTCCCGGAACTTTGGTTTTCTAGTCAAAACGATTGTAGCAACTTTCATTATTCGGCAATATTGAGTGGTTTAAAATTCATTGTGGGGGGAGGTCCGAAACTACAGCTGTCGTAGGTCAGATGTTGCAGTAGGTCGGATGGGCAGTATAGCGGATGGGCAATAGGACGGATGGGCAGTAGAGCGGATCAACATTAACCAAAACATAGCATCGATTCTAATAACTCTTTTAACCAAAACATAGCTTTCAAATAAGAAAAAATAGTTTAAATTAGCAAATTAAATAATCTTAGTGAACCAAAAAATAGTTAAAGTGAGCAAATAAATAGTTCAAACGATCAAAAAGATAGTTCAAATAAGAAAAAATGTAGTTCAAATGAGCAAAAAAATAGTTCAAATGAGAAAAAAATAGTTTAAATATAAGCCAAAAAAATAGTTAAAATGAACCAAAAAATATTTTAAATAAATCAAAAAGGTAGTTAAAATGAGAAACTATTTTTCACCGATCATTTCAACATATATTTTTGTTCATTTGAACTATTTTTTTGCTCATTTGAACTGTCTGTCCGTGTGCAAGTATACAAATTTTGGACCTCCTTCCTATCAACTTAGTACATAGCCTAAATTTCAACTATGTATTTTCATCAAAAAAAATATTTATTTTGTATTATTTCAGGGTTAGGTAAGGTTAATTGACACAGCTGGGCGGATACAGAATTTAAGTGAGGGGGCCGGGGGACAAGATTTTTTAGGAACCAAAATTCATAATTAGGAACAAAAAATCGCGCCGCAGGAGAAATTTTTTTTTGACTTGACTCAATTAAAGAGTCAAAATTAATGACTAAAGACAAAAAAACTAGATTTTTTTTAACTTTTCACACATTATAGTTTAAAGACATATATTTTTCCTATTTTGCACTAGGGTTTCTTTCCCTTATAAGCATGGTATTGAGAAGTTATTCTGAAAATAGGAACAAAAAATTCCAAAAATAGAATCAAAAACATCAAGATTCAAAGCACATTTTTATTTTCTTCTGAGTGCCTCAAAATCTCAGGGGGGGTCGAATGTCCCCCGCCCCCTCTGTATCCGCCCCTGTTAAGACACTTTCTGGGCCGAGCGCTGTGGCTATAAGTACAGGCTAGGGGGCCGAGCGCTGCGGCCACATGATCAATAATATCAATGTGATACATATGGGCTCCATGTACAAAATTGTTAGTTTGGGGGGGGGGGGGCGTTGGGCTATTTTTTGCTCATTTGAACTTTATTTACTCATTTGAATAATTGTTTTGCTTATTTGAACCATGTTATATTTGCTCATTTTTGAGCTATTATTTGATTCATTAGTCATTGGAGCAATTTTATTATTTTTTCATTTGAACTACTTTTTTTGCTCATTTGTCGAACTATTTTTTTTAATCATTTAAACTATTTTTTTGCTCATTTGAACTATCTTATTGCTCAATTGATCACTATATATTTTTCGGCTAAATTGAACTGTTTTTGTTAATAGTTAAAATGAGCAAAAAAATAGTTCAAATGCTTACAGATGTTATCGTTTGAACTATTGATCGTTTGAACTACTACACGTGTTACCATGCGTTCAATATAGTTCAAACTCGACCAAGTTCAAAAAGTCAATAGTTTAAACGGCAGTATAGTTCAAACTAAATAGCACCCAGCTGTAGGTCAGTTGCATATTTAATTTTTCAATCTGACCTATAACAGGCGTGACATCGGATGTACACTTTTTGTATAGGTTCTGGTTGGATTGTCATCAATTATAAGAATAGGTCGGATGCACACTTTTTGTTATAACCGTAAAGGAACGGTTAGAAAAAGTTGGAACGTGTCCAGCCCTAAACGGCAGCAGTTCAAACAGGATAGCATCTTTGCATGGTCCTCAAAATGAGGAAACTAGTGGTATACACATGGTCCTCATAATGAAATGATGAATTGTCATGGTCCTCATAACGCGACGTGGATATTATATGTATATGGTCCTGGTCCTCAAATTAAAATTGATAAATTATATATCGAGGGTACTCATAATGAGAAGATTAATTTACGTAAGTTTTACGAGGTCCTTATGATGAGGAGATTAATTTTACCGTGGTCATCATAATAAGGAGATTAATTGTATGCAGTTTTCATAACTTAAGGAAATTAATTGTACGGAGTAAAGGAGTCCTCGTAATGAGGAGATTAATTGTATGTGGTCCTCAAAACGAGAAGATTAATTTAATGTGGTCCTCAATCTGAGGAGATTAATTTTACGTAGTCTACACAAGAAGGAGATTAATTGTACTAAGTCCTCAATGCTGAGGAGATTAATTGTACATTTGGTCCTCATAATGAGAAGATTAATTGTACATTTGGTCCTCAAAATAAGAAGATTAATTGTATGTATTGTGGTGTAGATGGACACTAAATACACGCAAGTTATCTCGTTACTTAACTTTTTCATACAAGTACTTAAATACAAGTATTATGTAATATGTATCGTCTTCCTTTTGCATTTTTTAAAATGTATTTTTTTCATTTAATTTGACCAAAACCCTCAGGCACAATTTTGAACTTAATTATTGTTAATTGAGGTAAATTAACATTTTTTTATAAACCTCAATATTGTATAAACTGTTCTGTTATTTAAGATAAGCAAGATTTCTATAACAATGCCAATGTCGTGACCGTGAATCTACTTAACATTGAATAAGTTCAAGCTCATAACATTCCTCTTATATTTAGTCCAGTTCGAAGAGAAGCTCCGGCCCCTAGAGAAGGTTGCGAACAAACGATAAACATGAACAAGGAAAATGTATCTTGTTTAAATCTATATAAAAACTTTGCATGTCTACATCCGTCCGTTTTCTTCAATAAACGTCAGAACGGCTGAACCGATCGGGCACAAATTTTATGTGGGACCTATCATGACCCCAGGGAAAATTTAATGGATGCTCAAAATTACCAAAAAGTGTGGCCAAAAGTTTATGATTTTTGTAAATTTTTGAAAATGCGCGAAAAATATCATTAAAACTTTTTTGGTTACTGATTAATTCATTATAAAAAAAGAACATGCTCATAGATTAAGCCACAATTAAAAGTTGAAAAAGAACATTGTCTTAAAAATAATTGAAAATAATGTCTATAAGGTTTGAATTTGATTTGTTTTCAATACGCCGCTCTCAAGACCACACTGAGAAATGTTGGTCACAAAATAGCAATTAAAGTCAGAAATAAATCTTAAATATTTGCTATCATACATTTAAATACAGGAACAAGTATTAAAACAGCCCAAGAACCCAAGAGAAAAGGCCAACATCTTTTCTGTCGCCTTTTTTTGGTGGGTATCCTTCAAGGGCTTATTCAGGAATTTGTCCAGGGGGAGGGGCTTAATTTTTTCTCCAGGGGGGGGGGGCTCAGCACCCGTTTGAACCTGAAATAATATTAGCAACAAGGAAACGAAAAAACTTGAGAAAAACACCTTATCGTGTTTCGACATCTAAATGTTAAAAACTATAGCAATTAAAAAAATATTGTAACTGCATGTACGACAAATTACCAATACCAGGTTTTTTAGAATTTGCTTGAGAAACAAAATTTTTCTTCCAGCTATAAAAGACACATTTTGGGGCCCGTATGTTTGTTACTATTTTTTTAAAAACAAACACAGTATAAGGAAGCAAGTTCTAAAGCACCTATTAATTTCATGTTTACACCAGGAATCAGTGTTTTTCCTCAAAATGCAGGTCACTTCTAAACCATAGTAACTGAATTTTTGCCACAAACTCTGATACTCTCATCCCCATATCTTTGCAACCAAAAATTAAGTACAGAGTAAACGACCAAAATTATGACGATTTAAAACTTGAATTTTCTTCTTCTTCATTAAATTGAGTATTTTGATGGTTTACTAAATAATTGAGCAATAAGCCAGTGTTGACCTACAAGGAACCCTGACTGCAATAAAATGGACTAATCAAATCCCGTAAAATCGTCTTTAAAGTGCCATTCTTTGTGGGTCTAACCCATATCATAAAATATTCTGTATAATTGTATTCAGGTGGTTGAATCCTCTACTGGGACTAGGGTACAAAAAGGATTTAGATATTGAAGATATATTCGAAAATTTAAAATCTGATGGGTCGGATGAGCTGGGAGAACGGTTGCAAAGGTAATAGATTACCATTGATTATACATTTTCGATATTTATGCAAGGTTACCCACAAAGAATGAGACTTCCGAGACAAAGACAGAATGTTTAATTTACCATGTTTAAGGTCGTCTTTATGCTCATCCTTTGCGGGTAACCCTGTACCCTCTTTGTAACTAGTTGCATAATGGCTATAAATTGTCCTCCAGGAAACAAAAATAAGGAAACTTTGAAATTCTTCAACTTCATTGACTCTCTTCAAAGAATTTCATGTGATTTTTGTAAAGAAAGGTTCTGAACACTTGTTTCTATCTGGGGGCTTGGTCACCAATTTCAGAGATTTTAAGAACATGTTTTTAAAAGTTATATTCTCGTGAACTTCTTTGGAATAAAAAATATTCAGTTTCTAAGTTTTTTGTGAGCTAAGTTTTGATAAATCCTCGTGATTTATCACATCTTCTGACAGTGCCAAAAAAGATATTTTTTCTTGTAGGTAATTGTACTTAATTTTGCAGCTGGCAAACTTTATTAATTTTAGTGCAGACCTTTCAATGGAATATGGTGTACAATATATTGATCAGATAAAATAAGTTACAAGTTTTTTAGATGCCCAAAAATGTAAAAATTAAACCTCAGATATCATGAAAGTATTTGATACCTAGACATAATGTAGGGAATGGGATAAGGAGCTTAAGAAGGCTGACTATAAGAAGGAGAAGGGAGAGGAGTATACTCCCAGCTTGCTTAAAGCACTCCTTCGTCAGTTTGGACCTTTCTACGCTTTCCTCGGCATATTCACTTTTATTGAGGAATGCTTGCTCCGGATATTTCAACCTTTATTTATGGGTAAGTTTTTTAATCAAGGGAATGGCTTGCTAGACATGGTAAATAAGCTGAAAGTGTTGAATATGTAGAGAACAATTTTAGAATTCATTTCATACCAATGAGACATTTGTACAGTGTACAATTTTTAAATAAGAGCGTAAAGTAATTTGAAATATTTCAATAGTTGTTTCAGTCAGCAGAAGAAACGTTTTTTGCAGTTATTATTTAATAATCAGGAGAAAACATACATATTTTATAGACTAACTTAAGCTATTTCTGAACATATTTCTTAAAAGAAATTATCGTTGAAAGCCATAGAAGAACTGTAGAATCGATTATTTCATCATCATTAATTACCTTTGCTGTTTCTATAATTTTAATCCCAGATTTCTTCAAAATGTCGTCTTCACAATTAAATAAAGAAAACTTCCAATAAGCGACCCTAGCTGAAAGTTTTTCTAGAAAACTGTGAGATTTTATAATTAATTTTTTAATCATATAAGTTCATTATTTACTCCACCTGTTTGTATATATATATATATATTACATGCAACTAGCTTGTAGAATAGTAATTTGTTATATGTCTTGTCCATGTTTTTTAGAATTGTAAACAAAACTTTTTCTGCTGACTGAAACAACTGGTGAAATATTACAAACGACTTTACACTTTTATTCAAAAGTTGTACACCTTAATAATGTCTCATTGGTATCAAACAAATCAATAAGTTTCTCTCTACAATACTGAACTTTCAGCTCAGCTAACATGCCTGGCGAGTGACTCCCTTTAATCCTATTATTTCTCTTAAACAATATTAACTACTCATTAAAATTAGATGGCAACGTAATAAAACTAAACTATTTATAAAGTGAAATTGAACATTAGTTCAATCGATGAAATTTGTTTTAACGCACTTTTTTTTGTAAAGAATTGAGTCTTTGCCACAAACCTTGATTGTCTCATCTTTATATCTTTGCAACACAATGTCGTAGACATTTGATATTTCAAACTATGAATTCTGTTAGATTAAAAAATCTAAGTTTGAAATATCAAACGATTTCACCATCAAGTTATACATATTTGGGGATTAGAAAATCAGAGTTTCCCTAGTGTAGAAGGGGCAATTATTCATTTGTCGTAATGTCTTGGTTTTCTTTATCTAGTCCAAGGTTTTAATGCAAGGAAAGTTAATTGCAGTTGCCTATACTCTGCGTACATATTGAAACCAGTTCTCTCTGGGCGGAATTTGCAAGAATAGATATCAGTGTTCAACTAGTATCAGAGGAAGTTAAAAGCATTTAATTTTGAAAATTCTGATAATTCACATAATAGTTTCCTATGACCAGAATACTTCATTGATTTTTTGTGTGAAAGATGGATCCCAGGTCAGGCTGTGACATCCGTCTTGTGTTTACATTACCGCCCAGAGACAGTACACTGCAGTACAAATGATGCGTACACCTCTGAAATAACTGCATTATAACCTTGATCTAGTCTGTCTGTTTATTGTGTACTGCATGTACTGACTGCTTGCTTTCAGTACTTGAAATGCATCAGGGTTTACAGTGACATTTCAAAAAATAATATTTGTTAAAACAGAATTTTTTTGGGGAGTAAAATATTAGTACTATTGAATATTAGTGCAAATGAACTATTCCAACACTAATAAATGTTTTAGTTTGATAGAAATTTGTTTTTATTTGTTCAAAAATATATGCATTCACTGAAAATTTAAGAAATTAGACAAATGAAGAAATTTGAAATTTTATGTTTATTCATTTGTTTTAAAATATGTTTTTAATGTAACTAATAACTCAGCAAACGAGCAAAATAGCTAAAATTTTAGTTCGATTAAACATTTTCCCATCTGCTGCTGCTTAAAAAACTTTCAAAATGTCAATATTTAGAAAAGTTCTTTTCTGTCCAATATTTAATTTATTCAGGGTGGATGATGCAATACTTTTCCCCTGGAAGTAACATGAGTTTGGAAGAAGCATACTTCTACGGAGCAGGTGTAATCGCCATGTCAGTGCTTTACACATTTACACATCATCCATACTTTTTTGGAGTCATGCACACTGGAATGAGAATTCGTATTGCTGCTTGTTGTCTTGTATATAGAAAGGTAAACAAAAATCAAACATTTTTTTGAACGAAGAAAGGGTGGATTCTGGATATTATTAATAAATACACATATGAAAATTGTCAAATGTTTGCAGTCAACATTCTCGAATTTTCTTTCTGCATAAAGAAAGAAAAACTTAAATTTATCTAGTCTATAAAATTTCCCGTAGAAATAGGATCACTCTATATGCAAGTGATAGATACGTAAACATATCGTGGTGAATGAATTACGTCACAAGAACTCCCACCAATGAGAGTGCCGTATACCAGTCACATGTCTCTGTCTGTATCACATATGTCACTCTCATTGGTGGGAGTTATTGTGACATAATACGGACTTAAAGATGATATTATCAATTTGCAATTATATCTATTAAAAATAAAAATAATAATTATAAAATAATAATTTGATAAAGCCTAAGTTACAATTAGGTTTCTCCGGGATATCTTCGTTTTCAGATTAGTTGCATATTTAGTGAATATAATCTGTTTAAACCTACTATTTCTATACAAAATTGTTTATATATGAATTTTCGTATAAATTTGACACAGTTTTTTTATCAATTTCTCAAGACAGGAACATTATTTCATGGGTCGCGATTAAGAGTGAAGTGATTAGCTTTCAGCCTATAACCCCTTTCATTTTTCCTTTACAGTCCCTTTAATAACGGCAATAATAATGAGATTGTTAGGAAACTGTAACTTTTGAAAATAACTGAAAATACCATTAATAAAACGAACAAAAATAATGAACGGCTACACACATTTTTTTAACGGTTTAAGTTATCATGTTATTGAACGACTTGAGAGTGAATCAAATAAAACGTGCCCACTGCCCAGTCTTATCCACAACCATGATTAACAATGTTTTTCTTGAAATCATGATTCAATATGGATCAACCTGGATTTTAGATGTTAAACAAACTAATAAGTATAAGTTATAGTTCTTTGATTTTTAGGCTTTAAAGCTTTCTAACAGTGCGTTGGGAAAGACTACGGTCGGACAGATGGTAAACCTTCTTTCAAACGATGTGAACAGGTTTGATGTGTAATGTGAATGTACAGTTTGACCTGTGCAAATAATTTGACTTTTGAGATGACTATGTGTATTATTTAATAAAGTATTCTTCCAATCATTTATGGTTTCTTGCAGCCTTTTCTTTGCAAAATATTTTAATAGCAATATAGCAATAAATGACTGATATATAATGCAGAATTAATAATGTTTGTGGTAATTGCCTAGTATACAATTTTTGGACCCACCCGGCCCCCTGCCTCCCTCCAATCAATTTTGTACATGGATCTTATATGTAATGTAAAACATGGATATAATTGGTCATGTGGCTACAGCGCCCGGCCTCCTAGCCTGTCCTAACCACTGCGGTGCACGGCCCCCAAGCCGCAGTGCTCGGCCTAGAAATTTTCTGCCCTAACCCTGAAATAATAAAAATAAGTAATAATAATTTTGCTGAAAATTAGTGTTCATAACAAAATTGATAAGATGGGTGGGGGGTCCAAAAATTCGCATACTAGGACGGGCCCAATTTTGTAATGTTATGTTTGGAGTTCTAGTGTGGCTAACTATTCTTTTAATGAAATATATTTGACTGAATTTCATTGAGTCTATGGTTTGAGTTAAAAGTTAAATTCATTCACTCATTCATCGTCCATTCACTCATTCATTTGAGGATGTGTTCATTGATCTGAAGTACTGAAATCTTACTACAACTTTTTAATAGACTGTGATGATTATTGAGTAAATGGAAAACCATGGGAATGTATTCTTGCCAGCCAAAGCTCATGCAATTTAAGTTTTAACCCCTATATTTGGAGTATTTGATGTCCAGATATGATAAGTTTTGAATATGTTTAAAAACTTGCAAAGGAATTAAGTCGGATAATCTAATTTTGAAATACGAAAAGTAAGTATAAAATAAAAAAAGATTTATTAAAAAATGTACAGATTAAACCATGGCTCATCCATTAAAAATGTGAGGATTTTTTTCAGAAAGCCCTTTACTCAAGTTGTTGTTTAAGTCACCTCTTTTGTGGGTAACCCTTTACTAAATTCTTTAAGTCAATATCTATAGCCGTATCTGCAGTTTTAAAGAAACAATAAACTAATATCACATCTTAGAAATTATGTTTTTGGTTTAGAAAAAGCTAAATAGTGAATCAAAGGAATTGAGACTTTGTCACAAACTCTGAATTTTTAATCCCCATTTCTTTGGAACCCAATGTCGCAAATCTTTGATAATTCAAACTTATATTATTTGATCTAACAGAATTCAAAGTTTGAAATATCTAAGGTCTACGACATTGGAATCCAAAGATATAGGGTTTAGAAAAGCAGAATTTGTGGCAAAGACTCAATTCCTTTCCACTTTATTAAACTAAACATAAACCTTTTATAATCACAAAAATATACAATTAATATTTTTAAGATTTGACACGGCAGTTTTATACTCTCACTATCTCTGGGCTGGACCTCTTCAGCTTCTAATTATAACAGTCTTGCTCTGGCAAAGGGTCGGAGTTAGTTCACTCGCTGGAACTTTACTCCTTCTTCTTTTTGTTCCCGTTCAAAGTAAGAATGTTTTAAGTAATCCACCAATTCCAATCATGAAAATCTGCCAAATACAATAAAATTTTGTTAAAAAATCAGTTTTATAAACTCAGTCGAAGATTAGTTGCGACATAAATCTCAAAGCTCTTGAGTCTTTAATTAGTCTTTAAATCCCTGTCTCTGGACACGTGATTATTTGCATAATTAATTCAGAATTTTTGAATTAGAAATTAACTAAATTGGAATATTTCTATCCAATTGGATTCAATTTGATAAACAAAATTATTAAAAATTTAGATAAGATTTATTTAATATTATTGTAGGAATCGCGCGAATAGAACATATTGAAAAAAATAAACATCATATGATGTTTTACAGTGTAATAGCTTTACGTCAATGGCATATTCTGGGGGGTGGAGGGTTAACCCCCCATAGAGAAAAAAATCAAGCCCCCCCCATCTCTGGAATAATTCCTGAATTACGTCCCAATATTTCTTAGCCATAGCACTTTGTTCTTTTTGTATGTTTTATGATTTATAATATAACATTGCGCTATATCAAAGGAGAGGTCCCCTGCACTTAGATGGTTAATCAACCCTATTCCGGGTGGGAAAATTGACAGGGGGGGTCCCGAGGACCCCCTCCTGTAAATTTTTGGAGATAAAATACAAAAAAGTATTGGTCTCAGGCTGTTAACCTTTTTTACTATTCTAACTAACACATGCCCCTCCCTTTAGGCTAAAAGCAGCTGGCTTTTATACCTTCTGCCTGCGTTTTCTGGTCACTAGGCATTATGAAATCTAGGCATAATGTTTTCTAGGCATTCAGAAATATAGGCATAATGTTATATAGGCATTCATGAATCTAGGCATGGTGTTATCTAGGCATAATGTTATCTAGGCATTACGAACTAGGCATTCATGAATCTAGGCATAGTGAACTAGGCATTCACGAACTATGCATTCGGGAACTAGGCATAATGTTACTGAGCCCCTAAATACTTTATTTGAACTTTACCCAGCTATATGTATATTTAGACCTACAGCCGGTCTTTGGATTTGGACTTTTTATATCTCTTTGGAAAGCCTTAAACATCAGCTGAAGCAGATTGCACAATTTTATAAAAAGAAATTTTGCATAGTTTTTTTTTTGCGCAGATGCCTTTAAAGATAATTTTCACATTTTCAGTTTTCCTTAAATACAAATTTAGTTTTTGAAATTTTTGTATTTTTTTTGGCATATTTGAAGTTTCCGTTGGAAGGCTTTCCAAAAATGTAAAACTTTTTTTTTTTTGCTTAATTATTTGAAATAGTTGAAATTTAGCAAATTTTCAAATTTTTAGGCAGATTATTAGAGTAGAGCCGAAAGTCCTTCTAAAAGTGTATCAAGTGTTATGGGTTATATCGCAACAAGAAAATAGTGTGGGGGGGGGTCCCCGGGACCCGTCCCGCCCACAAAAAATTTTTGGGTAAACAAAGATTTAAAGAAATGATGTTTTATGTAAGAAGTTATTAGTTCATTAAACAAGCTATATCTTTTTTTACAGTGTTATCCACAAAGGATGAGGCTTCGGGGAAAAAAGTTTTTTTTTTGCAAAATTATTTAGTAAACCACTATTAATACTTCAAATTCAAAATCAAAATTGTCAAATTCAAATAGTTTTAGGTTATTATAAATGCAATTCTGTATAAACTATTTGATGAAAAAGTTTTTTAAAGAAAAAGGTAAAATTATTATAATTATTGTTTATCATTAAATATTTTAGCATGGGTTGGCAAGAAATTTGCACAGTTTAGGGTTATGACTGCAGCTTGCACAGACAAAAGAGTCAGGTTAGACAGATAGATTATACAGTAAAAGATTAATTAAAAAAAAATTGTAGTAAATGTTATCTTTTAACAAAATTAGTATGCAAGACCCAACTAAAGATTTTAAAATTAGGAGTATCGTTGGGTCTGTCGATTTCATAATTTTTTTGAGTGGATAGATTTGTTGAATAGAACGTTTTACGTATAAAAAACATGCTTAAAAATTATAAACAACACAATAACCTTTTTTATTTAATGGAATACATTTTTTTGTTTCTTAACACTAAAGTAAGCTCTCTAATAACCAGCTCATAGACTGATTAACATAACAGATAGGACACTAGACGTCGTCATTCCAAGATTAAGGGGGTTTTCGTTCACAATAACCCTAAGGCAGCATCCCAAAGGAGTTACGCGCATGTGGCGTTGAATAACAAGACAGAGAGAAAGTATTCGCGTAATACTTTATGCCTCTGTTTAGGCTTAGTGTGAACGAAAACCCATTTAAAACCTGTAAAGACGACATCTAGTGTACTTTCTGTTATTGTTTATTAATCTATGACCCAGGTTAATGAACGAGATTGTGAACGGGATGAAGGTGATTAAGATGTATACATGGGAACAGCCCTTTACAAAGATGGCAGAGGAGGCTAGAAAGTAATTATTATTTTGTTGTTATTACAAGTTATGCACAATGTTCACATTGTTTGAGATGGTGATTTAACTTTCTGTAGAACTTAGATAATCACACCACTATATATAAAAGACTTAGTTTAATTATGCTGGTTAAAATATTTTCTATTTCTTAGCTTCATTTTTTTTTTACTATTTTAATAGCTATATTTTACACATAATAAACCTGTAAAACAGTTAAATCTACAAAATATTAAAATTTTCAATATTCAAATTGTATTTTTTTTGTCAATATTACCTGAATAATCTGACCATCAGAAGTTCACAAGAAAAATTGATCCCTTAAAATTATGTTACAGGGCGTCCCACGAAACATGACAATTGGAAGACGACTTGAAAGTCGTCTTTGGTATTTGAATTTATTTGTGACATTTAGTCTTCTATCTACTTTAACATGTATGATTCTTGAAACAATTATCACATAATTCTCCTAGCCCTGGCATTTCCAAAAAGTGGTCTGCGTTTTTTGTGCTTTCAATATTACCGGAGATATAAAGAGTTTGGTTCAGATTTCAATTTTGTTAAAAAAAAGCAAAATTGTCGAAATCTGAACGAAATTCTTCATATCTCGGGCAATATTGAAAGCACAAAAAAGGCAGACCACATTTTGGAAATGGCAGGACAAGGGAAATTTTGTGATTATTATCTCTAGAAATTTTCTTCTAAAATTAGATTGACAAATAAACGCAGCAAATTATATCAAAAATCAAGACGACATTCAAGTCGTCCTGCATACTGTCATGTTTCGTGGGACACCCTGTATCTCTTTCTTTATTTCCTTTTCTAATCTATGTTATCCTGAACTGAACATATTAGGGCTGAGATAGATGTTATCAGGCATACCTCCTACTACAGAGCTTTCAACTTTAGTTTCTTTTATACTGCGTCTAGATTCATTCTGCTTTCTACTTTCCTTGTCTATGGTTTCACCGGAGAGGTAAATGTCATCTTAACGAATGATTTTTAAATACAGATGTTTATTCATCACCGGGAGCCTTCTTTTATATACTTAGATAAATAGAGTCTTTACATCAGAATGTAATTTAAAGAATAAAATTTGAATAATAACCGGCAAAGTATGGAAGTTGAACTGTGGACATATAATGATATAACACGTTTTTATGATGTATAATTACTGAGTTGGAGCGCAAAGTCGACGTTCAAAATCATTCATTTGTTGGTCACGTTTAAAGAATCGATTATTTTAAAATTATTAAATAACGACGATGAATGGAACCCCTGGACGCCATGAGCCTCCGCTATGCAGAAACGAACCTCCCAGATTTGCAAGGCAGACCGAGCCTCATTACACAGACAAAGCCTCCGCAATGCAGACTATGACTCCACTATGCAGAAAACGAGCCTCCACCATACAGCAGAGCATTTTTAAATCTTGGTTTTAAGTTATATGAAAAATGTTAACAATTTTTTTTGGCGTAGTGGCATAAGAATTTTACTAAAGATTATAGTTATTTATTTATTGTCATGATTAGAAGCATATATGGACTCATAAAGTGGTTTATAAGATTTATACTAAAACTTTAAACATTTCTTACGCAGAACGGAAGATATTTGGAGAAATATTTCTGGAGTAAATTCAGTTTGTTTTGTTGTAATCTTTGATTTAAACAATATCCTTTGTGAAATTTTTAAAAGTTTTATATACCACTTTATTACTTATAATTAAGCAATATTTATGATAATAAAAACTTCTTATCGTTGAGAAACCTCCTGTATTACACAGGCACATTTTGATGTATTGCGCATACTCCTTACAGCATAACTGAGGCTCGGTCTACCTGGCAAATCTGTAAGGCTCGTGTCTGCTTAGCGGAGGCTCATGGCATCCGTGGGTTCCCTCCCTCGTCACTCCTTTTAAACCATCTTTTTTTTCAGATTCTAACATCAGAGAAAGCTTTTATCTGCTTATCCCTCTACAATACTGTCAGGCTATCAATGACCCTTTACTTTCCCTCTTCCATTAGTAGTTTAGGAGAAGCAAAGGTTTCAGTTTCAAGAATTCGTGATTTTCTGCTCATGGAGGAGAGAGGAACAGAGGAAACATCTAGAGCTATTCATGCCCTTAATTCCAAGGTTAGACTAGCTGTACAAACTTCAGGAAAGTGTTAGATTACTTTATAATATTCTAATAAGAAAAAACTATTTATGAATAGCTCTGTTATGTTTAGCTTTTTTTGTCAGCATTTTCTCTTCGTATAGTATTAATCAATAGGCAACTTTTAAGGATTTATTAATTTTTTTCTTCTGGATTTTCAAAATTTACAAAGATTACAATTTGTTTGAGACAAATATTTTTAATCCTTAGCATCCATAAACCTTTCCTGGGCCGGGTCATGTAAGTTGCATCAAACATGTTGAGCTTGATCGGTTCAGCCGTTTTACGTTTATTGGACACAAACAAACAGACAAACTAGCAAAGTATATGATGTATATAAGTGCTGTCCAATATCAATACATTTTTTTGACTGGCCTTCTTTTTATTTAAGTTTGTTAAGTAAATATGACCTATAATTTCTTTAAATTTTATCCTGTCTTACGTTTGTACTTGTTTAATGGTACTCTATAAAAGAATTAAAGAACCAGAAACTGAATAATTGTACTATTAATAATATACTGCTATATTTACATAAAAATAGCTAAACCGATCGAGGAGAACGTTTTTGATGCAACTCAAATGACTTCAGGGAAGGTTTATGGCTTGACGAAATTTAAAAGTTTTGTCCAATCAAATTGTTTGTTTTTATCATATTTATTATTATGCACCAATTTAAATAGAAAACTGTGTGATAATTTGATAAAAACTTGCCGGTTTGTCTGTTTGCGGATCAAATAAACGTCAAAATAGCAAAACTGATTGGGCCCACACTTTTTTTGTGGCAACTTAAATGACCCCAGGGAAGGTTCTGGGCCATCTTTTTAAAATTAAAACAGGAAAATCCTTGAATATATTTTTTAATTCAAGAACGGTAATTAAAATAGCAATTTCGAAGCAACAGTTGAAAGTTTCATTATCAATTAAGAACATTTTTGACCGTCTTATATCAATTTTTTACTAAGGCAAAAATAAAGAAAAACGTTATTTTCAGGTTTCTGTGGAAATATCCGGTGTCTCTGGAAAATGGAATAAAGATGAAACAGAGAATACTCTTAGCAAAGTTTATCTTAAAATAAGGTATTTTACCATCATTACATTAGTCCAATCCGCGTAGTTTTATTTCTCCGACAAATATGTTTTTTAAAATTACATTTGCCATAATCACTACACTTGATATAATGGTTTCCTTTGGCCAATATAGCAAATGAAATTGAAAGTAGTGAAAACTTAGTTGATTATTTAAATTCATTTATATGCTACTATTTTTAAACATTATTATAATCATTATTGTTTCATAAGTTTTTACAAAGTGAAATAATATACTTTAAATCTATAATTAATCAAAATATTAAAGGCCAGGTCAACTGGTTGCAGTAATAGGCCCAGTGGGATCAGGAAAGGTAAATATTTTTTTGATACATTTGTCTGTGGAGGGGGAAATTTAAATTCCTCTCCACAATTGAAGTCACAAAATGCATTTACAGCAGTTTTGCATTTGATTCTTTTTTCCCCTTTTCCCAAATGAATAAATAGATGGAAGACAAAATATAGGGTAGCGTATCTATGCACAACTGCGTTATTTCTGAAATGATTGAACTACTATTCAAAAACATTTTTATAGTAGACTGGCATGTACAAAATATTATAAAAGGGAGTTAAAAAAATACAAAACCTGTGCAGACAGGAAGCGCTATGTGTGAGTGTGCTGCCGTGAATACATTTTGTGCAATAATGTACAGCATGCCTTCCTTCCCTGGTCTGTTTACATATGATGTCTTTAGAGCTCTCTTCTTCAAGCTATTCTGGGGGAACTTCCAATAACTTGTGGTGGCATAGATATACACGGAGAAATTTCATTCTCTCCACAGGAACCTTGGGTGTTTTCAGGTAGTTTTCAACATTAACAATTCAACGTATGTTAAAGGGAGTAATGGCAATTATCAAAATAGCAAAAAAAGGAACTGCAGGGTATTGCAATTACTGCAGATATTTGGTACTGGGTGGTACTGGTGGATACTGATTGCCCTACAAATACTGTGGGTACTGTGGATAATTTGGGTACTAGATGGTACTGTATGTACTGCAGGTATTGGGTATTGGTTGGTACTGGGGGATACCGATAATACTACAGGTACTGTGGGTACTTTGGGTAATGGGTACTAGATGGAACTGTATGTACTGTAGGTATTGGGTGGTACTGGGGGATACCGATAATACTACAGGTACTGTGGGTACTTTGGGTAATGGGTACTAGATGGAACTGTATGTATTGTAGGTATTGGGTATTGATTGGTACTGGAAATACTGATAATACTGCGGATACTGTGGGTACTTTGGGTACTAGATAGAACTGCATGCACTGCAGGTATTGGGTATTGGTTGGTACTTGGGGATACCGATAATACTACAGGTACTGGGGGTACTTTGGGTAATGGGTACTAGATGGAACTGTATGTACTGTAGGTATTGGGTGGTATTGGGGGATACTGCGGGTTAATGGGGGTACTATGGGTACTGTGGGTACTTTGGGTCCCGTCAGGACAAATAAAGGAAAATGTACGCTATCACGTGACGTGTGTATTTAGCTTAATCAACTGCACTGATCATTGTTATTATTAGGTGCAGTACAAGATATTTATGCTGCGTAGAGACATATGTGTCAAGTTTGTTTACAAACAACAACTAGTTTTAAGAAGTATGATTTGCGTAGAGACTATAAAACTGTAGTTGATTAAGCAAAATACATACGTCACAATCTAGCGTACATTTTCCTCCATTTGTCCTGACGGGCTTTGGGTAATGGGTACTAGATGGAACTGTATGTACTGTAGGTATTGGGTGGTATTGGGGGATACTGCAGGTACTATGGGTACTGCAGGCGGAGAACGAGAAGGGGTGGTGTTTCATTTTGGGATGAACTATAAACTTTCGGGTTTCTTACATTTTAAGTGAAGTGCCAGCTCCCTGTCGGACGACAGGTCAGCCTGGTCTTTCTGCTCTTATCTCAGGTTCTTACTCTGAAACATAACATTTGTTTTTTTTAAAAAGAGTTGTTTATGTTCAATTCTTTAAAAGGTTTAAATACCACTCCTTAAACAAGCCGTACCCCCCGACTTACGCAAAAGTTCGTTAATTAGTTCGACCCCCCACCATCACTTTATACACTTACATCTAAACAGTTTGTTTTTAACCTTTGTGACAGAAACAATCTAATGGAATAATAATTGTCTTAAACATTTTTTTTAAAGTGAATATTTGCAAATTATCTTTTTTCCATCTGAAAATCTGAGTTCGTTTCCCATATGTCCATTTGACAGCCCACATTTTTATTTTGAATAATCTTTTTTGTTTGTTTATTTATTTGTGATTTTTAACAAACATTTTTTTTATATTTTTTTTATCTATTTTGATGGTTATTATATCGTTAGAACTGACGAGGGTCAACCCAGACCGAAATACATTTTCAATAAATGTTGAATTAACATCTACTTTTTTACTCTACAGAGGTTTGGTCCATCACCATCACCGAATTTTAAATAAAACATTTATATCAGTAATCGCACTTATTTTCAACTATTGCCTATTGGTGTTTTATTTACACAAGTTACACATTATCTGCACCATGGTTGACACATTTACCATATATACAAGGAATATTGAAATTAAACGTAATCAATAAATGATTTATTATTTTTTAATTGATAAGGAAGTGTTGAAGACAATATCCTGTTCGGAAAACCGTACAACAAGTCAAGATATCTCAGTGTCATAAAAGCCTGTGCACTTGAGCATGATCTGACTCAGTGGTCACATGGAGATAAAACCTTAGTTGGAGAGAAAGGAGTGGCACTTTCTGGTGGACAGAAGGCAAGAGTCACTCTAGCTAGAGCCGTTTACAGGTTGGAAATTATAAGAAATCATAAAATCAATTTTAGTTTATAAAAATTAAAGTTAATTTACAGCCGGTATGTAAAAAAAATCTATGCTCAAAGTGCTTTCCAGTACTCTTCTGATGTATCAGCTTCTTATTGTAATATTGTGATAATAAACAATCGCCTAGTAGTATCTTCAAGAAGTCATTTATTTTTAGACTTAAAAGGACTGTAACAAAATTTCAAGTGATCTTCCATGTGTAAAGTGCAGTGGCTTGAAATTATGTAATGCAAGCTGTTTTGTACTTAAAAACAGCACTATCTACTTTACAGTGTCATGCATCAGTTCTTTTCCCCTAAAGTTAATCATTTCAAAATAATATTTAACATAAGAAGCAATGTTTAAACAATTGCTATTGTTTTCAATGTATTATCACCAAAAAATAATTACTTCATAATTTGAAAGAAAGACACCTCCTACATTTATGAGTCAAAAACTCCCCATTTGTTCTACATTTCATATGTCCTTGACATCATATGTCCTACACATCATATGTTCTTCACATCAATAGTCATACAACTAGGGTAAGACTTTATTTGTCCTGCATGTCATTTGGCCTACACTTGCTTTTACCAAATATTGGGTAACATGATGTTCTTTAAACCTGCAGTACGTTGTATATTATTAACAATCTATGTTTGTAAAAAAATCATTTTTCATGGAAACTGCGTTTCAGTTGAATACATAGCATGATACATAAAGACATGCATCTTAATTGTGCCTATTTTAACTGTGCTGTCATATGTAACATGGTTGCCTTAATCATGTGATATAGATAACGGTGTAGGAATTGTAATTACATCTGTTAATTTTGACTGTAACATATAAACCGAAAATACACTAGTTAATATAGAAACTCTGCTTTGATTACAAGGTAGAGTAATTGCGTCCTCCTTGAAACATATGGGCTGAGATTGTACCTCGGTATTTGGTACAGGTCGATTAAGAGCTTGTTTGATAGCTAAATTGTGTCCTCCTTGAAACATACCAGGAGAGATTATATCTTGGTATTTGGTATGGATCAATAAAGAGCTTGTTTGATAGCTAAACTGTGTCCTCCTTGAAACATACCAGGAGAGATCATACCTTGGTATTTGGTATGGATCGATTAAGAGCTTGTTTGATAGCTAAACTGTGTCCTCCTTGAATCATACCAGGAGAGATCATACCTTGGTATTTGGTATGGATCAATTAAGAGCTTGTTTGATAGCTAAACTGTGTCCTCCTTGAAACATACCAGGAGAGATCATACCTTGGTATTTGGTATGGATAAATTAAGAGCTTGTTTGACAGCTATACTGTGTCCTTGTTGAAACATAGGGGCTGAGAAAATACCTCCGTATTTGGTACAGATCGATTAAGAGCTTGTTTTATAACTAAACTGTGTCCTCCTTAAAACATACGGGGTGAGATCATACCTCGGAATTTGGTATAGATCAATTAAGAGCTTGTTTGACAGCTATACTGTGTCCTTGTTGAAACATAGGGGTTGAGAAAATACCTCCGTATTTGGTACAGATCGATTAAGAGCTTGTTTGATAACTAAACTGTGTCCTCCTTAAAACATACGGGCTGAGAAAATATCTCGGTATTTGGTATAGATCGATTAAAAGCTTGTTTGATAGCTATGCTTGTGTCCCTGTCACCCTGTGTGACATTTAGAGCTCGCTTAATAGCTAGGGTCCTAACGCCCAGTGGTAGTGGCCTTGATAATTCAGGGGATTGTAGCCATGTGTTGACATTGTTAGTCAATAGAATCTGAGTTGCACCTGGATAGATACTTGTTCGAGAAATTGTTATGAAGTACTTTTGTACTGTGATTGCACTAGCATCAGCAGCTTCTGCAGAATATGGTCTTTGAAACGAGTGGTCGTTATCTATCTCGATTTTTCAAGACTCCTAGCAATATCGTCGCATGAAAAGTAACATGGTAGAATTTTCTTTAGTTCCACATAATTAAAATAAAAAATATTTCTAGAGTTGCTGATTGTTATCTTCTGGACGATCCTCTCTCTGCAGTTGATGCTCATGTTGGTAAACATCTCTTCCAGAAATGTATTCAAGGATATCTAAGGGATTCAGCAGTTATTCTGGTGACCCACCAGCTACAGTACCTGAAGGATGCAGATCTTATTGTAGTTCTCAAGGAAGGGAAAGTACAGGAAACAGGAACATTTGAACACCTGGCCAAGAATGGTCTTGACTTTTCATCTTTGCTTACATTAGAGGAAGAGGAAGAAAAAGAGGAGGAAGAGGACATATTTTCCGAGGAGGATATTATTTTAATGAAGGGAAGGGATCCTGGTTGGAACCATTTAAACAAATCTGATCAGTTTACAAAGGACTCAAGGAAAGGATTATTTATTATTTCTAAATACATACATCCATACATTCTGGTCAAGATTGTTATCTTGCCCAGCGTTGCAGCTACAACATGCTGGGGGCCAAGCCATGTGTCCAACAATATGGTCTGAGCTCTTCTATATATGAATTTTGTGGGTTTGATTCACTTTTTGACTTTTGTTTTTTTACTAAGTCATTTTAACTTTAGTCGCAATTTTGTTCATTTGTTGCTAACCCATATGGCCTTTCACCCCCCCCCCCCTCCACCTGTTTTATAGATCTAAAGTGATAAAAATTTAAGTATGAATGCATAATCCTTTAATACATTTAGAATTCATTTGGAACATGAGAAACCAGACTTTAAAAATTTCGATATGCCTAAGACTTTGTCTAGAGCTCGAACATTGTCTGTGGGTTCAGATATGTCTAAAATATCCAACCAAAGAAAAGAAATTTCTTCACCTGTTGCAAGTAAAGAGGAAAAAAGTGCTGGAGCGGTGAAAGGTGGACTATATATCTCCTACTTCAAGAGTGGGGGAAACTGCTGCACTGTCATTTTTATCCTTTTGGTCAATCTTCTGTGCCAGGTAGATAAAATATTTTTTTAACACTTAAACATTTTTACAGATTTTTTTGAGTGCAATTAACTTATCTGCAGTAAAAATCATATTTAGGGCCTGTACTCAGGGTCAGACATATGGATTAGTTACTGGACAAGCATTGAAGAGAAAGAACTATTTATAGAACAGATTGAGGAATTGCCAGCTCCAATTCTAAGTAACACAACTCTTCCCAGGTAGTCTACCATGACATAATTATAAGTAAATTAATTTATTTTATTCAAGCCCAGTACAAATCTTTTATGAATAAGAAATTTTAGTCTGGAGTTGAAATGCTTGATTTATGCAGTCAAGTGATAATCGATAATAATATAAACGAATTAGCGAGGGTAAAAAATGGTTAAAGTTAATGGTGAGGTTAGGAACAGACTTTGCTTTATCTGTTTAACTTGTTCCCAGTAGTCGAAATATCTCTTCTATTTTTATGTAAAATAACCAATAACAGCATATTAAAAGCTGGCACAGCTAACATTTATAAAATTGACATCGACAAAAATTAATAAGAAAGAACAGCAAATAGTTCTCCAAAGATTTTGACGAGTTCAACTAACTGTTAAAGGAGTGGCTTGAACAAAAAATCTAAATATGGCGAGTCCTACATTTCTGTAATCACAAATTGGACAGTCCAATGTACAGAAATGTTCATAAAACACACAAAACTTTCAAGGCTTCCTTTTTTCTTGCTTTTATGGAATTTTTTGATGCAAAATTGAAAATTTAATGAAAGTATTATGTGTATTTTATGATATGTATTTTATGGGCATCGGTTTTGTGAATGAACAAAATTTTTTGTGAACGATAGTGTTGTTTAGAAAAGAAAAAAACGATCGAAAAAAAGAAGAAAAAACATAAAAGAACGATTTGATTTTATGATTTTGAAAAAAATTAATAAACAATTTTTCTGAAAGATTTTGAAAAAGACATAAGTTTTTTACTGAAGAAATTATATTTTAATAAAGTGATCCCTTTTACTCAACAAATGAACACTTTTACTGAATGATCCTTCCTTCAGAAAACGAACAAAAAAGATGGAAAATGAATGACAATTTTGTGAAAGAAATCAATTTTTTTAGACGATTAAGTGTTCAAAAGAAATAAAAATGACCAAACTTAAGCTAAAGTATTTTCATATTATTTAGCGATTAGTCAAATATTGTTATCATTAAAAGTGGAGTTTGCAAGATTTTTGTTTTTCATTTAATTATTGGAGGATAAAATATTTGGGGTTATCTTATCAAGGAAACAATACTTCCCAGTTATGCTTATATTGGTCGAACACATGAAAAGGAAGTTCATAGCATTTCATACTAGTTGCTAATTGCTGTCTTTGCTAGTTGCTAGATGCTAATTGCTGTCTTTGAAGATAATTAACTTTTGTTGTTTAGGATAAACATTTCAATGAATTATGAAGAAGCATGGTCCAACCCTAACAACTACAATTCTCACTACCTTAACCTTGGTATTTACGCAGCATTGGTCGGAGCCCTCGTCATTGCCTCCATGATCCGAACTGTTCATTTCTTTGTTGTCTGTATGCGAGCATCAGTTTACCTTCACAACTCTATGTTTTTGAGAGTGGTTCAAGCTCAATGCAGGTTTTTCGATGTCAACCCTGTAGGTAAGATTAATCATATCTAGCTTTCAATGATCTTGAGTATCAAATAGACAGTTGAACTAATAAATTACAAGTTAGATTTATAAAATAAAACATTTTCTTTCATAAAAATTCGAACCAATGGAAATTCAAACCCCTAGGCTTTATCATTGAATCCAAATTGAAAGTTCAAATTTCCATTGACATGCCACTGCAAAGGAGTGGTGTTAATGTGAAAATGCATCAGTAAGTTTAAGGCTAACGGGATTTAATAAAAAACAGTATATTTTAAAAGAATGTTTTTTCGAAGGTCGAATTCTAAATCGGTTTTCAAAAGATGTTGGTTCTATGGATGAGTCACTACCACCTGCATTCATCGACGCTTTTACAGTAAGTATGGTTAACTTCAAGTTTTGTTTACTATTATGAAACTATTGTGTAATTTATTATTCTTTCTCCCTTCATTGTGAATTTCATAATGAACGTGCTATAAAGTAATCATTGTGCTTTAAAGTAACCATCATGCTATAAAGTTAAGCTAGTTATATATTATAGCACCATGCTATAAAGTAATCATCATGCTATAATGTTAAATAAGATGTACATTATAGCAAGTGTGCCATAAAGTTTTGATTGGTTTCTGGATTTTCTCCAAAAAATTTAGGATATTTAAAAAAAAAATTTTCAATGGGAATAAAGATAAAATTGAAATTAACCTTATATTTGGACTTCTGCTTTGTAACAAAGCTTATTTTATGTAGAAAGATCCATTGAAAGAAGACAAGTACACAAACGTTTCATAAAATTACCTATAACACTTTTGTTTTGGCACAACGTGCTTTAAAGTTTTTGGACTTAAATTTTCTCTATATCTTGAAGGTTTAAGCCTGTTTAGATTTAATTTCTGTCCAAAAACTTCGAACCAAAATAATAATGTTATAAATAGTTAAAGCAAATTGAAACAGATGAAAATTTTATATTTCAAAATACAGTTTGAATTAGTTTCTTTATTACCTTCCTTATTTGTTTGGGAAGCTATAGGTGACATTTGTCTGAATTAACAGTATAATGATTCTGCATGTTTAACAAAGTACAGAATTTGTCAGCTTTATCACAATAAATAAACCAGAGCCCAGTAACAGTTTAGAGTTTACTGGAGTACATACGAAAAGCTGAGTTGAGGGTGTAGCCCCTATTTATCCTGTGTGCCCACTTCTGCACTAACTTTCATTTACGGCCTGATTGTGACACATAAAATTTATTACCATGGTCACCAAATTGTGAGATTTAAAACTTTGCTCTTGGTAACATTTTTTAGCTTTTATTTGCGAAATATCATTTGAAAATCTAAAAACTCTTACTGGAATAATATGGAATTTTGAACTGAAACTATTATTACTAAAGCTGAAAATATATAAATAAGCAACAACATTCTAAATTACGCAACCCCAGATTGTGATTAGCTTTTTTGTTTAAACAGAGTCTTAAGCTAAAAAGATAAACCATTCACTTCACAAACGATGATCTTTTTTGTATTAATTTTCATAAATAATTTTAATTCATCCCTAGCACACATGTTTTTTTGTTACTTTGATAACCTTGGAAAAAAACTTGCGAAGGATCGTCCAGGAAACTTGCTATAATAAAGTACTGCGACATATAGTTTTGAATTTATAAACCATGAAATGTACACTTTGTTTACTTAAAGGGACTGAACAATATATTTTTAGTTACCTTTATATACTTAAAGGGACTGACAAATATATTTTTAGTTACCTTTATATAATTAAAGGGACTGACAAATATATTTTTAGTTACCTTTACATACTTAAAGGGACTGACAAATATATTTTTAGTTACCTGTACATACTTAGAGGGACTGAAAAATATATTTTTAGTTACCTTTACATGCTTAAAGGGACTGTTAAATATATTTTAGTTAGCTTTATATACTTAAAGGAACTGAAAATATATTTAAGGTAGCTTTATATACTTAAAGGAACTGAAAATATATTCTTAGTTACCTTTATATACTTAAAGGGACTGAAAATATATTCTTAGTTATCTTTATATACTTAAAGGGGCTGAAAAATATATTTTTAGTTAGCTTTACATACTTAAAGGGGCTGAGAAATATATTTTTAGTTAGCTGTATATACTTAAAGGAACTAAAAATATATTTTTAGTTACCTTTATATACTTATAGGAACTGAAAATATATTCTTAGTTAGCTTTATATACTTAAAGGAACTGAAAAATATATTTTTAGTTATTATTACATACTGAAAGCATAGAGAATAGAATATTCTATTCTCTATGACTGAAAGGGACTGAAAAATAAATTTTTAGTTACCTTTATATACTTAAAGGGACTGAAAAATATATTTTCTACTCTGTGTCTACACAATATAAAAGGATTAGGGTTAATTAAAGTGATCTGTACACTAAATCTGGTTTCTTTTCTTCTTCTGAAGAAGATGAATTCCACTTGAACCCCCTTTTTTTACTTTATAAATGCCACCATCTGCTCTACGGTAAGGCAGGTTGTCATTCTATTCTCCAGACTTATAGGTGGTTGAAATTTGACAAAAAATGTATATTCCGGATTTGGATGGCCCAGTCTTTTCCTTGATCAGGGCAAAGACTAAGTAGATGTTCCAATTGTCAAACCAGGGAGCAAGGAATAGAAGTGAGAGACAACTGACGCGGTTCGCCCTACCATATGATTATACATGCTTTGCAGACGGTACTCCATTTTATATCGAGCTGTTTGGTTTCTTTAGTAGGGCCCCACAGGAAAAATATGTATTGGCTCAATTTTCTTTGACCAGTTTCGCCAATACATATTTTTCCTGTGGGGTCCTACTAAAGAAACCAAACAGCTCGATATAAAATTTTATATATATACTGATAAATTGTCATTCACTGCGCTCAGATCAAAATGTCTCGACAATGTCAAATCTTCTTTAAAAATGCTCTATTTAAGACTTATCCTGCAAAAAAGTGTCCGTCACATTCTTAATCCACTCTACTTCAAAAGTTTAAATTGGAAGTTCTAAGAAACATTTTTTTTATAGATTTTCTTAAATATCCTGGGAATAATGGCTGTGATATTTTCTGTGAGACCATGGGTGATCCTTCCTACTCTTCTCCTTGTTATCATTTTCATCTTACTTAGAAGGTTTTATATGAGGTAATCTGTTAAATTGTGCATAATAATACGCCCAGACCGAGGTCCCAATTCATAAGATCAAATCTTGCAAGAGTGACATTACATAAAATAACAAATTTAGTTATATTTGCCATTTAGTTACACTTCTTATAAGTTACAATTCTTATTAGTTACACTTCTTATAAGTTACACTTCTTATAAGTTACACTTCTTATAAGTTACAATTCTTATTAGTTACACTTCTTATAAGTTACACTTCTTATAAGTTACACTTCTTATAAGTTACA